TCTGCCTCCCTCCGGCCCTTTGGGTCTCTGCTGTGCACACATGCATGTCAGTGCATTTGCGCAAGTTTCACACCCATCTTTCAGCTTGGACATGCACACGGAGTTTGGGCCCTCGCTGTCTAAAAGGTTTGCCATCACTGCCCTATAGCAAGGTGTGCATAATTATCAGGCAGAGTCTTTTCCTGAGGCAAAAGAGATTTAACTGACTCGAAAAAGTGAAAACATTGTAAAAGGTCTTTCAGAGGGATGAAGCCCTCTTGAAATTGCTGAGATACTGGGGCGTGATCACAGAACCATCAAAACATTTTGTTGCAAATAGTCAACAGGATTGCAAGGAACATGTTGAGAACAAAAGACGGATATTAACCACCAAAGATTTGGGAAGACTCAAACGTGAAGCCGCCAGGAACCCATTGGTCCTCCAGTGCTGTCATATTCCAGAACTGCAACCTACCCAGAGTGCCCAGAGGTATACGGTGCTCAGTGCTCAGAGAGATGGCCAAGGTAAGGAATGCTGAAACCTGACTACCACTGAACAAGACACATGAGTTAAAATGGCAAGAACTGGGCCAAGAAATATCTGAAGACAGATTTTTCAAAGGCTTTATGGACTGATGAGGAGTGACGCTTGACGGATCCTATTGAGAACTTGCGGGCCCTTCTTAAACGGGAAATGTATGGTGAAGTAGAACAGTAAACCTCTCTGGACAGTGTCTGGGTCATCAACTGATCAAGAAACTGACAGACTCCATGAATTGGAGGCTTATGACTGTTGTTGAAAAGAAGGTGTGGGGGCTATATGGGTCATTGATTTTGTGTGTGTGTGAAATGTCAGAAATGTTTATTTGTAAATTTTGAGTAGTTTGTTATTCTCACTTTAACAGATAGAAATAAATGTGTGAAATAGGCACATTTTTTTCGTGTAGTTGCATAATTATTCTGCACACTAATAGTTGCCCAATAATTGTGCACACATAGATATTGTCGTAAGAAAGCCAAAACTTCTCTTTTACTTTCTTAACTATTCAGGTTTCAGGTTTATTAACATTTTTGGAGTGTAGTTGTTCAATAATAAAATTAATCCTCAAAAATACAGTTTGCCTAATAATTGTGCACACAGCGTATGTCTTTTAATTAACCATTATGTGGCCATTTAAAAAATAGTAATTCAGTCCCATAATAATATATCTGTTCCTCTCTTGCTTCCACCATTGTCCGGTCATAAGTGTAGATTATTCTAAATGAGGCATAGAATAGGTTGGAGCATTTGCAGAGGTATAAAGATTTAATCTTTTATAACTGTATGTTGATTTATTTTCAGAAAATCAGTTTATACATAGCAGAGATTTTTCATAGCTATATCAAAGTAGATCTAGTCTTCTGTTTCCCTTGTAAGAAACATTATTGATTAATGCTTTAGAGCAGTGTTTCTCAACCTTGGCTACTTGAAGATGTCCGGACTTCAACTCCCAGAATTCCCCAGCCAGCATTCGCTGG